GAAAATGATATATAGGTGGTACATGACCCCAGTCAAGCTTGCAAAAATATATCACCTGTCTGATAATAAATGTTGGAAATGTAAGGGGGCTGAAGGGACATTCTTTCACCTCTGGTGGACTTGTCCAAAAGTGAAGGCCTTCTGGGAAATGATCTACAATGAGTTAAAAAAGGTGTTTAAGTACACCTTCCCTAAGAAACCAGAGGCCTTCCTCCTGGGCATTGTTGACCAACAGGTGTTAAAGAAGGACAGAACTTTTTTTATGTATGCAACTACAGCAGCAAGAATACTCATTGCAAAATACTGGAAGATACAAGATCTTCCCACACTGGAAGAGTGGCAGACGCAATTGATGGGCTATATGGAACTGGCTGAAATGATGGGCAGAATCCGAGATTTGGGAGAAGAAAAAATGGAAGAGGACTGGAAAAAATTTAAGGACTATTTACAAAAACATTATAAGTTGTATGAATGTTAAGAATTTGCATGATTTGGAAATTTTAGCTTCAGCATCTAGATTTGATGGACAGGAAACTAAGTTACAAGTAAGAAAAGGTAGAAACTTAAAGTTATACTATGTTTATCTCAAGGTATAAGTAATTGGGGAAAAAAATAATACTTTAAAACCAGAAGTATAATATTTTAAAGATACAAGTAAGGTATGAAATAAGGTAATAATTTGCTGATATGTTTATTGTAAAGAACGCAGGGTGAGGGAGATGTGGGGAAGTCCAGTTGGTAAATGTAAAAATGTTTTTGAAAGTTGGATTTTTTCTTTTTTCTTTCTTTGTTTCTTTTCCTTTTTCTATGCTTTTTATATTTCTGACTTTGTATTTGAAAACGTAATAAAAATATTTATAAAAAAAACAAAACAAACAGAGCCCTCTGTGTGTAGCCTACATATGACACCAGAAGCAGCGAAGCTTCTAACAGCACCATCTATGTAGAGTAGACCAGTTTGCTTTTCCATTCAGATTGGACCTCTTGGGGAGGAGGGTGGTGCGTGGACATTTTTACAGGGTACTACCATCTCTCAATGGGACACGGGTGGCGCTGTGGGTTAAACCACAGAGCCTAGGACTTGCCGATCAGAAGGTAGGTGGTTCGAATCCCCATGACGGGGTGAGCTCCCATTGCTCGGTCCCTGCTCCTGCCAACCTAGCAGTTTGAAAGCACGAAGTGCAAGTAGATAAACAGGTACTGCTCCGGCGGGAAGGTAAACAGCGTTTCCGTGCACTGCTCTGGTTCGCCAGAAGTGGCTTAGTCATGCTGGCCACATGACCAGAAGCTGTACACCGGCTCCCTCGGCCAGTAAAGCAAGATGAGTGCCGCAACCCCAGAGTCGGCCATGACTGGACCTAATGGTCAGGGGTCAGAGCCAGTGTGGTGTAGTGGTTAAGAGCGGTAGACTCGTAATCTGGTGAACTGGGTTCGCTTCCCCGTTCCTTCCCCAGCAGCTGCTGGGTGACCTTGGACCAGTCACACAGTGGCGTAGCGTGGGGGGTGCAGGGGGGCCGGCCGCACCGGGCGCAACATCTGGGGTTAGGGCAAATCCACGGGTTAGGGGGTGCAAATCCACGGGTTAGGGGGCACAAATTACTTGCCTTGCCCCAGGTGCTGACAACCCACGCTACGCCGCTGCAGTCACACTTCTCTGAAGTCTCTCAGCCCCACTCACCTCACAGAGTGTTTGTTGTGGGTGAGGAAGGGAAAGAAGAATGTTAGCCGCTTTGAGACTCCTTCGGGTAGTGATGAAGCGGGATATCAAATCCAAACTCTTCTTCTTTACCTTACCGTCTCTCAGCCTCTCCAAGCACTTTTTTGTTGTTGCTTACATCTCACTTCCACTGCCTTGGAATTCAGGAATCACCAACAGGAGATGAAATGGTGAATTTGGTTCTGGATTGTGTTGTTTCAAATTGGAACTCAGCACTCACATGTGTGTGTGTGTTAATCCTTGCACACAGAAAAGGAGCATATTAGGGAGACAGCAAAGCTACAAGCCTCCCCCCCCCGACAGCTAGTTTTCAGTGTGCAAGGGGTGTGTGTGTGTTTTAAGTGTATTTCCTTTTTTGTGAGGACTCCTGCTCCTTGCAATCTCAAGCCCCCTGTGCAGGTTTTATCCCTTCACCTGCCTTTTGTGAGAACTGCACTTTCCTGAAGGTTGCCAGGTGAATGTGAGAAGCCTGTGTTTGCAGAGGCTTGTCTCAGATGGGGTTGCCTTCAACTCTCCTCCTTGCTGAGTGTAGTACATCTAGTGGCAAACAGGGTTTTGCTGCTGTGCATCATGTTCAAAACAGCCTCTGCACACTGACTGTGACGGCTTGCCCAATCTCCTTTTTAGACCCTTTATGCTAAGCCAATTTACAGACCTGTCTTCAGTTCCCTTTTAGGATAGATGCTGTAGTGGTATGGCTTGCATGTTTTCCTTATTTATTTCGGAAACTTATCTCTCACCATCCTTCCATGATGGAACCCGTAACATGTTGTTTCAGTTACGACAGCAGCCTCAGGTGCCCTCAGTTCATACCTCGAGAATGTGTTTATTATAGTTATAATCCACCTTTTCTTCCAGGTTAGGGGAGAGAGAGAGAGAGAGAGAGAGAGAGAGAGACTGGTCCATTACTGGTAGGTAAGGCAATGCACTCTACACTGATTGCAAACTGATCACTATCTTGCGGTTGATTTCAGCCAATTTTAGATCCATCCAGCCTGTAATTCTCAGCCAGTTTCTATGCTCATGGGAGGGGTGGGAAAACCCTTATCTCCCCTTCTGGGTAAACCCAGGTTGAGGTGGCTCCGTCTTCCTTTCCCCTCTTTTGGTCAACATTTTAAGCTATTCCCTGTAACACTTCAGGCTGGCCTTTTTTTCAGCTGGAACATAGTTCTGGCACTTCTCAGGTGGGCACTGTGGCGATCACACAGGGTCCCCAGACGTTTCACCGTCTATTGATCCCTGTGCCACCACTTTATTTCTCGCTGCCACCACCCAGGCCCTACCTGGTACAATACTGAGTCCAGTCAGGGTTAAATTGGAACATAAACTTCTGTTTATTTATTGCAGTTTAACAAGCGTGTGGTTTCATAAATGGTATTGGTCAATTACAATCATGGGGTGCCTATCCAGATCTATAACTTCCACTACCTGCTCTCACTCACTAAACCATTTACTTGTCTTCCTAGCCCCTAACTGTTCCTGACTCCACTCATTTCGCTACACTAACTCAACCTACCCACAGACTCTATCCCAATTCACTCCCACTCCAACCAACCACCCAACTCCCAACGAACTCCTCCCTTCGTCCCTCCCAGAGCTGGTTTTATAGTCCCTCTGACTCCACCCCCTGGGTTCTGATTGGGTAACCTGTTTAACTGTTTCACTTCCAACACTCTCATATGTTAACGTCACAGGTACCATTGCCATTCATGGTGAGTTCCAGTGCCTTCTCCCCCCTAGAAAAATAGTACTGGCTTCAGGGTGATTGAACTTCAACTCCCACTAGTCCATGCCAGTATGGCCCAAGAGCTAGGGATCATGGGAGTTGTAGTTCAGCTACATCTGCAGAGGCTCTCCATTCTTGAGTTACAGGGCCAGGTGCCATTGAGGCCACAGATCCTACATATCCTCCCCCAGGTCAGAAGAAAAGCTCTATTAAAGTCTTGCTAGTGTATTTCCTGTGTATCTTCCACTCCATATTTCATCAGGCATGATGTTGGAGGGACGCGGGTGGTGCTGTGGATTAAACCACAGAGCCTAGGACTTGCCGATCAGAAGGTCGGCAGTTCGAATCTCCGCGACAGGGTGAGCTCCCGTTGCTCGGTCCCTGCTCCTGCCAACCTAGCAGTTCGAAAGCACGTCAAAGTGCAAGTAGATAAATAGGTACCATTCCAGCGGGAAGGTAAACGGTGTTTCCGTGCGCTGCTCTGGTTTGCCAGAAACAACTTAGTCATGCTGGCCACATCACCCGGAAGCTGTACGCCGGCTCCCTCGGCCAATAAAGCGAGATGAGCGCCGCAACCCCAGAGTCGGCCACGACTGGACCTAATGGTCAGGGGTCCCTTTACCTTTAATGTTGCCCAGCTAGGGTTGCCACGTTTGTTCTGGCAAAATACAGGACAGGGCTGGGCTGGGCAGTTGGGGGCGATTCCACCCCTCCAATCTGGTGCTGAAGTGACTTCAAAGCCATCCATCACAATCAATTGCAGCCTAACAGGGTGGTCCTTCTGGAATCTCTCTCTCTCTCTCTCTCTCTCTCTCTCTCTCTCTCTCTCACACACACACACACACACGCGTAAATCTGGCTGTGCTTGGCTACCTAGAGCTTAAACCCATGACCTTTCATGTATTTAAACACATGCATTTGACAGAGAGCGAGGGAGAAAGAGAAGACCTGAAATACAGGGCAAACTGTGCCAATACAGGACATAGCATTTTACATTGAAATACAGGACAATCCTGTATTATACAGGGTAGATGGCAAACCTATGCCCAGCCTCCTTAAGATGGGAAGATGTCCCTTACTGTAGCTGCAAGCCTGCCGGCCTCTTCAGACATTTCTGTTACATCTGGCTTGCATTGCCCTTTAATGATCAACCGTCTCGTTGTGATCAAGTGAACTTTTACTAATCTCTGCCCCCCCTCCCTTTATTTTTTTGGGGGGTGGTGGTGGTGGAATAGATGCAGTATTTCTTCAATGGATTTGGGGAGCCAATCAGGCAGCCGCAGCGGAGAGGCTCTGAGTAACTTAAGTCAACTGTAAAGAGTTCAGGGAGGGTCTAATTACAGAGGAAGGGAAAACTGCTCACTTTAGCATAACCTAGGATCTCTCTCTGCTGCAAACTCCCCTCTTTTTTCTTCTAGAAAAAAACACACACACACAGAGAGAGAGAGAGAGAGAGAGAGAACAGAGGTCAAGAAGTAGCAGCCACTCCACCTCTGGTGAACTTTAGCAGCTCCAAGCCTGCTAGATTCTTGCAACCAAGCACAGCAATTCACCAAGGAGGGGGGGGGGGAGAGAGAGAGAGAGAGAGAGAGAGAGAGAGAGAGAAGATTGATTGCATCTTGGCCCTGCCGTTAAATGAGCCATTATCAGGAGAAGCTGCAATAATGCATACAGTCACTTGAAAAGAAAAGCTGCTTTCCTTGGCGAATACACCTATTATTTCAGCGGCACTCCAAGAGTGTTTCAATAGTGTCCAGGTTTGTTGCTTATTTGAAATACATTTGAATTGAATACATAGACACTGAGGCTTAAAGCGGGGTGGCGGGGGAGGGGAGGGGGGGAAGGTGGAATAGAAAGGAAGAAAAACGGAAAAGGGGGGAGGAAAGTTGGTGGGGTGGGGTGGGGGGAAAGCCGCCAACACATTTTCGCTTGAGATATATGCCTGAAGTTCTCATTAAACTTGCCATTTGGAAAAAGACAGATTAAAGGGAAATGGCTTTTTGAGAAAAATAGACCTGGAAATGATTTTGGCCCCTTCTGACCTAGAAAAGGCAGATTTGACAGCTACACAAAGATATTAGTCACGGGTAGGATTTCCTGGCAGGCGTCTTTGCACAGTTTCTGTGGCTGGACCTGAGAGGCACACCTTCAGAGACAACCTTGGGATTTTTGTTTCTCCCCACCCCCAGAACACTGCTTTTTGCTTGATACTCTTAAATCAGGGGCATCAAACACAAGGTGTGTGAATTTTAGGGGGGATCCCCCACATGGCCTACCAGAACACCCCATATAATACAATAGTAAAGGTAAAGGGACCCCTGACCTTTAGGTCCAGTTGTGACCGACTCTGGGGTTGCAGCACTCATCTCACTTTATTGGCCGAGGGAGCAGGCGTCCAGCTTCTGGGTCATGTGGCCAGCATGACTAAGCCACTTCTGGCGAACCACAGCAGTGCACGGAAACGCCGTTTACCTTCCCGCCGGAGCGGTACCTATTGCTTCTCTCTTTTATGAGACACATTGCTTCTCTCTTTTATGTTAGTTCTCCATGTCTTGTGCCTCCTAGAGGTCAGGAGGATACACAGCACATGTTGTTCAATGTTGCGGAAAGAGAAACTTTCAACTGGCGTTACTGACTTGACACAGATTTTTGTGGGGTACAGAAATGGGCAAAGAAAAGGTGGGATGGAGTGAGGTGGACTTATTTATATTCCACAGAGAGAGAAAAGGATAACCCCGTTAAATCAAAATGATGCTAACCAAAGGTACTTTTGTAACTGTAGCAGTGATAGAAATAGTGACTCATTTTCTTCTTCCTGTCCCCCCCCCCCGAAATCATGGCTTCTATAAATAAAATAATAGAAAATATTATACAATGTCTCCAATATATTGTAATTTTTGTACAGTTCATGCAATGGATCAGATTTTAAGTCTCCGCCTTCACAATTTCATAGGAACGTTATGCAAGTTGCAACAACTCTTTACAACTATTACATCGTTACTGTGTTACACCAGCATGTCTGGTAAGTATAACAGATACAAATAATACGAAATGTTGGAGAAACTGTAATCGGAACGGTGTGTATGTTCACATGTGGTGGCTATGTCCTATTGTATCACAGTTCTGGAATATGATGTTTGCAGAACTGGAAGACATTACATATAAAACTGTCAATATACATCAGCAGTAGCTCTTTTAACAAATTGGGAGGAACAAAATGAGAAAGTGATATCTCAGCTTGTAGAAGAGTTTGGATTTGATATCCCGCTTTATCACTACCCAAAGGAGTCTCAAAGCGGCTAACATTCTCCTTTCCCTTCCTCCCCCACAACAAACACTCTGTGAGGTGAGTGGGGCTGAGAGACGTCAGAGAAGTGTGACTAGCCCAAGCTCTCCCAGCAGCTGCATGTGGAGGAGCGGAGATGCGAACCCGGTTCACCAGATTATGAGACTACCGCTCTTAACCACTACACCACACTCTTGTAGAGTAATAACTGATTTTTTGGGGGGAAACTGCAGAACTTTGGACATTGCCTCCCCCAAGTTCTATGGCTTAAATATAACAGATAACAGGGTCACTTATATTTCCAAATTAATAATTCCAGTCCAACGCTTTTCTGTTTCCCCAGCTTTTGTCAAGGGCAGTTATTTATACATCCCCAGAAGCGATAGACATTGCGGATGTTCTTTGAATGTGCTGGACACAGTAGAACATACTCCTTTTCTGCTGTCCATTGTACAACCAGCTATCAGATTCTGACATTAACCTGGAAGTAACTGCAAAGGTGGCCGAGTTTTTATCAATAGTATCTCTTAGAGTGGTGAAGGGCACTATTTAGCAGGAAGAAACCCCAATGAAAACCCTCGTCATTACGTATTTTTACATGGCTGTTTATTTGTATATATTTTAAAATGTTATATATGGCTGTTTTATGATGGCCTATATTTGTAGTGCCTAATAAAGGTTTGGCAGAGTAAGTAAGCAAGCTAAAGCAGTAAAATTGACATACCAACTTAAATTAGCTAAAGGCAAAGTTAAAATATTTGATTTTTACATAGTGTGGTATGATTTTATTTCATATGCAAATCAGAACAAATGTAGCAACATTTATCAAAGCCTTTCCTCAGCTTATGGAAAATAGACTAAGCAGAAACGGTAATATTATGATGGATGTGTATAGAAAAACTCCCAAGTTGCCAATAGATCTTACATATATTTTTATCTACATATATTTTCCAAGAAGAAAAATATGTAAAACACATTATCTTCTGTTAGTAATTACAATATGCAATTATTTCTTTCTTTCTTTCTTTCTTTCTTTCTTTCTTTCTTTCTTTCTTTCTTTCTTTCTTTCTTTCTTTCTGGAATTTTTTTTAAAGAGGAAACTTTTCTCCAAGACCCAGTATTTGTTATTAAAACAAAGCGCCAGATCTTTCTGAAGACGACAGCTGTTAATTTCGAACTACAGTGGTACCTCGGGTTACATACGCTTCAGGTTACATATGCTTCAGGTTACAGACTCCGCTAACCCAGAAATAGTGCTTCAGGTTAAGAACTTTGCTTCAGGATGAGAACAGAAATCATGCTCTGGTGGCGTGGCAGCAGTGGGAGGTCCCATTAGCTAAAGTGGACCTCCGGAATGAATTAAGTACTTAACCCGAGGTACCACTGTACTTCAAAGTTATTCTTAACTCCAACAGGACACTGATCTGCTGACCCGTTTCAAATGCACTTTCTCCAAGGAGATCAGATCCTATTCATGTCTTAGATGTAAGGCCACACTGAGTTCAATGGGACTTACTCCAAGGCGAGCATAGGATTGCAGTCTGAGATACATCTATCTGGGAGCATGCCCTGTAGCACCCAATGGTTTTTGAACAGTGAATAATTGTTGCTGGCATCCGTCCCCCTTGGGAAATGATGGAAAAGTGCTCCTTTGAAGGTGAAGCCAAACTGCTGGGGAGTCGCAGTGCCTGATGTGGCTGTAGAGACCAATACAGGAGAGACATGTTTCGTTGCAGCTGGATCAGGCAGGTGGCCCATCTAGTCTAGCATCCTCTTCTCAAGTGAGACCTGCGTGCAACAGTGCTCTTCCATTTGTGGTTCCCAACAACTGGTATGTAGAAGCAAATTACCTCCATCTGTGGTAACTTTATCCTCCATGTACAGTATTTGTCTAACCCTCTTTTAAAGTTATCTGAGTTTTAAGTATCACAGTTTGGAGAGAGAAAGGCCCTGGTACAGATCCCCACTCCCTCACAAACTTTTTGCCTTGGGCCAATCAAGGTAAATGGCCTCATCCCAGTATACCTGAAGAGCGTCCCCACCCCCATCGTTCATCTCGGACACTGAGGTCCAGCTCCGAGGGCCTTCTGGCAGTTCCCTGATTGCAAGTAGTGAGGTTACAGGGAACCAGGCAGAGGGCCTTCTTGGTGGTGGCACCCACCCTGTGGAACGCCCTCCCACCAGATGTCAAGGAAATAAACAACTATCTGACTTTTAGAAGACATCTGAAAGCAGCCCTGTTTAGGGAAGTTTTTAATGTTTGATCTTTTATTGCTTTTATTATTATTATATTTTGTTGGGAGCTGCCCAGACTGGCTGGTGAAACCCAGCCAGATGGGCAGGGTATAAATAAATGATCACCATCATCATTTTCAATGTAACCTACCTCACAGGGCTGTAGGGACTGTAAAATGAAGGTTTTGAGTGAATAGACATTTACATTGGGAGGGCCACAGGTTTCTAACCAATCAGGGAACAGCCCAGCCAGTGTGGCGTAGTGGTTAAGAGCGGTAGTCTCGTAATCTGGGGAACCGGGTTCGCGTCCCCGCTCCTCCACATGCAGCTGCTGTGGCCCTCCCAATGTTATTGGCTCCAGCTCCCATCCGCTGCAGCCAGCAAGGTCAAAGTTCAGGGATGACGGGACATAGAATCATAGGCGCCGACTCCATGGGGCTTGAGGGGGCTCGAGCCCCCTCAAAAATTTTTTTTGGGGGGCTCAGCCCCCCCAATAATCTCGGGCGCCGGGGGTGGGGGCTCCTGCCTCGCTGCTTCGCAGCACCACCGCCACTGCCAAGGCACTGCCGGGGGAATTTCCTTCCTCCTGGCGGTTTCAGCCCCCGCGAGAACAGGGGAATCCCGACTGGCCACACCTCCCAGCCAGCCAATCGGCTGGCTGGGGGGGCGTGGCTTGCCCTATTTAGGGCCGGAGCCACTTTATTTGCATATTCATGAGCTTATTTATTATTCATGAGCTTTCCCGGGCTCCCCCAATATTTTTTATAAGTCCGCGTCCCTGCATAGAATCCCAGAGAACAACATCTGGAAAGCTATTGGTTCCTCATCTCTGAGTCAGAGATTCTTCAAGGTGAGACTAAAGCAGGTGGTTTTAGTATTATTTCATTATCATGCATAAATGTATGGTAAATATCTATTCACACAAAACCTTGGGCTAGTCACACTTCTTTGAAGTCTCTCAGCCCCACTCACCTCACAGAGTGTTTGTTGTGGGGAAGGAAGGGAAAGGAGAATGTTAGCCGCTTTGAGACTCCTTAAAGGGAGTGAAAGGCGGGATATCAAATCCAAACTCCTCCTCCTCCTCCTCCTCCTCCTCCTCCTCCTCCTCCTCCTTCTCCTTCTTCTTCTTCTTCTTCTTCTTCTTCTTCTTCTTCTTCTTCTTCTTCCTTAAAACTGAGGATGAAAACAGTTTGGCCGAGACATGTTTATTTAAAAAATAGCTGGCAAACTTGTATGTGCCTGTGTGCAGAGATCGACCTACCTGCTTACCAACCTATCTATCTTTATATCAAAATGTTCTCCTTGATTTATAGGAGGAAACAATCTTAACCACAGCTATTCTTGTATGGTGACAAGGCTAAGGTGTGAAGGAATCTGACTGCGCCTGTCTCTCAGATGCCCCATCCGTGCCACCTTTGAATTTCATCATGAAATAAAGGTGGAGTAAAAATGTAATAATGAAATAAAGCAATGATAAAACTCAGGATTGTCCCCAGTTGTGCTAGCCAGAAATTGCAAGGGAAAACTTTGCAGGATTAAGGGTGATCTAACACCGAAAGTATTAATTACAAGTTCCACAAAATAATTGAAGCCAGCCTTTCATTCAGACCATAGGGTTGAACCAAATTTAGTGTACATAAATACCCAGAAGGATTCCTTTTGTAGGAATACCATCTCAATATTGCTTTGATTAAATCCATATGTTTCACTCATGCTATTTTTTAAAAATAAAATAAAATAAAAAAGAACCAATCACGGAATTCTCCTCTTCCAAAAAGCGATGCAAGAAGGGAACTTCTCCATTAGTCATCAGTCTAATTATATTCTAACGTCCACACTTCTGAACTTTTAGGGGGGTCACTGTGTCTTTCCCATGTAGTGAACTGGCGAATTGTTCTGCAGATCACATTTAAGTAAAGGTAAAGGGGACTCCTGACCATTAGGTCCAGTTGCGGATGACTCTGGGGTTGCGGCGCTCATCTCGCTTTATTGGCCGAGGGAGCCGGCGTACTGCTTCCTGGTCATGTGGCCAGCATGACTAAGCCGCTTCTGGCAAACCAGAACAGTGCACGGAAATGCTGTTTACCTTCCCATTGGAGCGGTACCTATTTATCTACTTGTACTTTGACGTGCTTTCAAACTGCTAGGTTGGCAGGAGCAGGGACCGAGCAACGGGAGCTCACCCCATTGCGTGGATTCGAACCACCGACCTTCTGATCGGCAAGTCCTAGGCTCTGTGGTTTAACCCACAGCGCCACCTGCGTCCCTGCAGATCACATTTACACTCCTGTAAAAAGGTAAAGGGACCCCTGACCATTAGGTCCACTCACGGACGACTCTGGGGTTGCACGTTGCTGGCCCAGGGAGCCGGCGTACAGCTTCTGGGTCATGTGGCCAGCAGGACTAAGCCCTACCGGAATAGTGGTGCCGGGGCAGTCTGCTCCCTCCACACTCCCGTTCCTCCACCAGTGAAGGTATTGTGGCGGCCCCCCAGACATGCGCTGCACACTCCCCCATGGGCCTGGCACCACGCCCCCACAGGCGGCATGTCACGCCCCCAGAACGCTTGCCATACCCTTGCAAGTGGCATACCACGCCCCCGGGGTGCTCCCTGCCCCCGGTAGCAGAGCATGCAGCTTCGCCACTGCTTACCTTGAGTGTTCGTGGGCCCAGATTTCGAGATGAGTGCCTGAGTGCAGGGAAGTGAGGGAAGAAGATTCAGCTCCCCTCAACCACACACATCTTTTTGCTGCGAAACTTAAGACTCTGTCTCGTGCTCGATAACTGAATTGGGCACACATGTAAACTCTGAACATGCAGCTACCCTGGTCACATCACAGCTGCCGCTGTGTTTCCTAAGACACTAACCTCTTCACCATAAGTGCATTGATTGGATGAAGGTCCCACCGGTGTTCACGGGATTCAATTCTAGAAACCTGTATCTGAGACTATACCCTATCTGCCCTCTCTTCAGAATGGATTGCAATTGGCAGGCATCCTTGCTACCAGCCAGGTTTTGCACCGTAGTCACAGCTGTGTTTATCTAGAGATGCAAATACGATGACGGAGTTCAACCTGAGAGTTTTGATCTGATCTTCTTTTAGGACCAAGCAAGGGTTGATTTGGTCATGGAACCCAATCCGGAATGACTCTGGGCTGATGCGAACCTCTCTGCGGTAGAGCGCTGCTCCAGCATCTCATCCTAATCTCTCGCTTATACATTTAAGCAAGGCTTAGGATTGTGCTGGCGGAGAGCGGGGCAATTTTGTATTTCCTTTCCCCATTTGCATTCTGTGCACACAAACGTGATAATTTCACATTTGGGAGGGGGGGGAAAGTCAAATATAGTTTACTCATTGATATGAAAATTTCATGAACTCTACTTTCCCCAGTACTACATATTCAACGGAACTAATTACCGGAGCTATTTACATCCGAAAGATTTTCTGTGCATCCAGAAAGGACAGAAACATCCCTCCCCAAATGAAAATGTTGATTTTTAAAAAATCAGTGTTTTTGATCTCTTTAAACAGCGTTACAATCTTGTGCATTCATAATCTCAGATATATGCAAATATTTCCGTCATAGGTTGAATGTGGCAAGTAGGTCTTCCTTCTGTGTTGTGGCCACGATCCGACACCTTTCTGTGTAGAGATTTGTTCCCTCCATTATTACGAACTTGTTGGTGGCAGCTGCGGGGTTAAAAATGAACCGCACTCAGCCTCAGAGGGGGCAAATGTGGGGCTTCCTTGGACCCTGCACAGAGTATCAAACAGCCCTGATAGTACAGTTCACCTTCATTTCCCCTGAAAAAGCGACCAGTGCTGTCACAGACATCCATCTGGTCCACTGGGAATAACTAGTGGGTGAAGAACCAATGATTTTTTAATGGTGTGTGCTTTTGACCTTTCGCTACACAGCTCTATTTAATTTCTCCCTATCATTACTGTTTTGGCACCATCCTTGCATTTCACATACATCTCCTACGTGGAACGTACTATCTCACTGCCTCCATGCAGCATCGGCAAGAGCTGATTCTCTGGGCCTTGCTTGCTTGCGCGTGTTTCATGCCACTCTGGCAATCTCCCACAATTGTGCCCCTGTGTCCGCCTTCGATGTCAAGACAAAGCTTTGCCATGTTGGTATAATAGCAGGGCTTGTGGAGTTCTGCTGGCTGGAACAGAAACTAGTTTCCTCCCGCAGAAATGAAAATATTGGGAAGAAAAGAAACCAGTTTCCTCCTAAGAATTTGTAAATGGCAAATGTCAAATACAGTGGTACCTCGGGTTAAGTACTTAATTCGTTCCGGAGGTCCATTCTTAACCTGAAACTGTTCTTAACCTGAAGCACCACTTACCTAATGGGGCCTCCTGCTGCTGCCGCGCCACTGGAACCCGATTTCTGTTCTCATCCTGAAGCAAAGTTCTTAACCTGAAGCACTATTTCTGGGTTAGCAGACTGTGTAACCTGAAGCGTATGTAACCTGAGGTAGCACTGTATAGTTACAGACGCTTCAGGTTACAGACTCCGCTAACCCAGAAATAGTACCTCGGGTTAAGAACTTTGCTTCAGAATGAGAACAGAAATCACGTGGCGGCAGCGGGAGGCCCCATGAGCTAAAGTGGTACCTCAGGTTAAGAACAGTTTCAGGTTGAGAACGGACCTCCAGAACGAATTAAGTTCGTAACTCGAGGTACCACTGTATATATTTCTGTATATATTTCTACCCAGGTCTCTCTGCCTGCTCAAATATTTGCGGAAGTTTTTGCATCATCGGTGCCGGGGATAATAGTGTTGGAAGGGAGGTGAGTCTAACCCCTTGTTCAATACAACTGCAGCATTGCTGACAGATGGCTGCCGGCAAAGGAGGGCCTACTACCCCCAAGGCAATCTGTTCCACTGTCAAGCAGCTAATAAAACATAAAATTGTATTTTAACATGTGTGGCAGCATTTGATAGCTGACATGCAATGGCATCAAATGTTTGACAGTACTTACATGCAATGTAAGGTGGCGCTGTGGGTTAAACTACAGAGTCTAGGACTTGCTGATCAGAAGGTCGGCGGTTCGAATCCCCTCAACGGGGTGAGCTCCCGTTGCTCGGTCCCTGCTCCTGCCAACCTAGCAGTTCGAAAGCACGTCAAAGTGCAAGTAGATAAATAGGTACCGCTCCGGTGGGAAGGTAAACGGCATTTCCGTGCGCTGCTCTGGTTCGCCAGAAGCGGCTTAGTCATGCTGGCCACATGACCCGGAAGCTGTACGCCAGCTCCCTTGGCCAATAAAAAGAGATGAGCGCCGCAACCCCAGAGTCGGTCACGACTGGACCTAATGGTCAGGGGCCCCTTTACCTTTACATGCAATGGTATATTAGTCATTTTCCATTTCTCAAGGAACTTTCCCACATAAACTTGTCATAGAAAGAGCCCGCTGGATCAGACCAAAAGTCAGTCTAGTCAAGCATCCCATTCTCACTGTGGCTGTGCTATGGGATACTTGCAAGCAGAACAGGGGTGCAACAGCACTTTTCTCTTCCTGCACCCCCCAGGAACTGGTGTTTAAAGGCATGCTGCTTCTGGTGTTGATCAGGACAAGAATTAACCTCCTCATGAGGTGGTACAGTGGTACCTCGCGTTAAGAACTTAATTCGTTCTGGAAGTCCGTTCTTAACCTGAAACTCGTCTTAACCTGAGATACCATACCACTTTAGCTAATGGGGCCTCCCTCTGCCGCCGCGCGATTTCTGTTCTCATCCTGAGGTAAAGTTCTTAACCTGAGGTACTATTTCTAGGTTAGCGGAGTCTGTAACCTGAAGCGTCTGTAACCTGAAGCGTCTGTAACCCAAGGTACCACTGTACCTGCAAGTGGTTTGTTGCACAAAAAGTCCAGAGCACTTCAATCCACTGTAATTGCACAGACCTGAATTTCTGGGATGTGCTTGAATGCCTCCCACAAAACAGTGACAGTCCGGGTTTAAACGTTAGGAGAAATCCTATCCTGCCCAGTAGCCTATCCTCCAACACATCGAGGCAAAAAACTGGGACACACATCTTTCTCCCATGCAAGTCACATGACCTGTGCAAAATCGTGGCCCTGAAAGATGTGATTTTTTTGGGTGTGTGTGTGAGACTGGGGCACGAGATCGGGGCACCCCCAAATTGCTGCTGTGCTCTTGTGTGAAAAAAACGGGATGTCCTGGTTTTGAGGTGTAGACAGTAGGCGTAACTCAAAGGTAGGCTTGCTCTGTAAAGCTAAGTTCTTACACAATGCAGAGTACTAACCACTATACTGTGCTTTACACATACTTATTTGGGAACAAGTCTACTAAATTCAGCAAGACTTCCTTCCTTTTGGTAAACATACCTAGCCAAATACTTTGCAGAAAGGTGGGACACAAATTAGTC